GGTACACTGTTCACGGTAGCATGGTCATCCTCTCTCTCCCTTCTGCTGGTCTAACCCAGCCTTTATCTGCTCATACTCACACAGCTCTGCACGGCCGGAGCCATGAAGATGCGGTCCCATGCCAGCTACCCACACACACCTTTTTCCGAGCATTGTCTAAACTGTCCAGTACATGACCTTCTAGGTCACGTAGACCTAGCGCACATTTCCCTTTTCTAAACCTGGACAGAGCACTCGAATAGTTCACATAAGCTGTATATCCATTCCCTATCAGGAGGAAGTCACTCAGGATGTTGACCCATAAGTTAATCAAGGGGGACACAGATATTCTTGCCTGCGCCAGAATGAGTATGAGCAGAATGTCTGATTTAATTTAGTCGGCATTACCACTCTAGCCACGACAACTGCTTTGCAACAGCTTTTTCAAGGATTTTGGAAATAAATAGGAGATTGGATATTGGTCTATAATTAGCTAGGACACTTGGGTCAAGAGTAGGCTTTTTGAGTAGAAGTTTAATTACTGCAACCTTAAAAGCCCGTGGAACATAGCCAGTTAATAGAGAGAGGTTAATCAGATCTAGTATGGATGTGTTGATTAGGGGAAAGACGTCTTTGAGCAGCATGGTCGGGATGGGGTCCAGGAGACATATTGATGATTTAGATGAAGCAATTGTTGAGGTCAACTCAGAGAGATCTATGGGAGAGAAGTAGTCCAAGTATAAATGTGGTCTCACAGGTGTTTCTAAAGCCATTGTATTAGATGGCACATGTACGAGAGTTGTGGGAGTGGTCCGACCAATTTTTTCTCTAATAGTTGTGATTTCATTTGTAAAAAAGCTCATGAAGTCATTGCTGCTGAGATCTAAGGGAATGTTAAGCTCAACAGCACTGTGGCTCTTTGTCAGCCTGGCTACAGTGCTGAAAAGAAACCTGGGGTTGTTCTTATTTTCCTCAATCAGTGATGAATAAAATGCGGTTCTGGCACTACGAAGGACTTTCTTATATATTATTAAACTATCTTTCCATGCTATGAAAAACTCTTCTGACTTAGTGGAGCGCCACCTCCTTTCCAGTTTTCGTGATGCCTGCTTTAGCGAGCGGAGCTGCGAGCTGTACCATGGGGCTAACCTCCTCTGTTTCACTGCCTTCTTTTTCTGAGGGGCAACGGTATCAAGTGTATTACGCAGGAAGGCTGCAGTACTATCAACAAGATTATCGATTTGTATGGGAGTAAAGTTAAGGTGGCCCCCTTCCACTGTGTTGGCAAACGGCACTGAAGTAGATAAAGACGGAATTATTTCCTTAAACTTGGTAACAGCATTGCCAGATAGACATCTGCTGTAGGGGAATTGTTTCCCACATAGAGTATAATCCATTAATGGAAATTCAAAAGATATTAGAAAATGGTTAGACAGAAGAGGGTTATGGGGAAAAACTATTAAGTGTTCAGTTTCGATGCCATATGTCAGAACAAGATCAAGAGTGTGATTAAAACAGTGAGTGGGTTTATTTACAGTTTGAGAGAAGCCAACTGAGTCTAATAATGAACAGAATGCATTGTTGAGGCTGTCATTGTCAGCAACTACATGAATATTAAAGTTGCCTACTATGATTATTTTATCTGTACTAAGCACTAAATCAGACAGAAAGTCTGAGAATTCACTTAAAAACTCTGAATAAGGAGCAGGTGGACGGTATACAATAACAAACAGAACAGGCTTTTGAGTTTTCCAGTTTGGGTGTGAGAGACTCAGGGTGAGACTTTCAAATGAGTTATAACTATGTTTAGGTCTAGAGTTGATTAATAGGCTTGAGTCAAAGATCGCTGCCACGCCACCACCTCGGCCTGTGTTTCGAGGGATGTGACAGTTACTGTGACTAGGTGGAGTGGATTCATTTAGGCTGACATATTCT